CAGCTCTCCAATTCCGGAAGAAGTCCCCAACCTGGTTAACTTTGAGATCACAAATATCCGGAGTTCCCCGGTGATGAGGACTGAAGATAACCCTCACTTGAAACTGATAAGAAGATCTCCAATACCGGGCGAGAAGAAGACATGTGTAGTGAGACCCCATCAGAATTATAGGGAGTGTGTTAACAGAGTTTATATAGGATGTGATACAACCACTAATGGTGGGGATACTGGCCCTTACCGGCCTTGCACTGGTCCTGTCCATCCTCCTCTATCAACTAATTTCCATCCTACCTACATTACCACAACTCTCCCAGAACCCCTTCTCCCTACTTTCCAGACTCATTTAGCCACCCGATCTTCTCTCATACAGACTCAAACTGGACACATATCACGTCCAAAGAGTGCCCCTAACAAAACATCAATTACCAACCATCGTGAGACAGGGAGTGTTTGTAGAGATTTTAACTCGGGGGACAACTTTAGTATGTTCAATATAACCGGTAATATAAGTCTGAGAAAACGACGTGCTCAGAGAGATAGAATGGGGATTATAGACTCTAACCTTTGTCCTTAGAAGTTTTAGGACTTTGTTATGGTAGAAGTAGACTGTAGAATGTGTGATAGCTGTGCTTGTTAACGTAATAATTTTCTTTGTACATTGTATTGTTGATTTTGAATTCGTCTGTGACTTATTTTATTATCAAGAGGCTGTTTTATTGTTATTTTTCAGTTATTTGTCAATTTACAAACCCGAGTCGATTAAATGAAAAATACTGTGGCTGTTGTCTGTTGATAACTTAATCAACATTGTCATGTTACTCTTTAGGAAAATGGTCTCGAAAAGTCGAAAACTGTGACTAAAATTGTTGTAGACTAAAAATTTGCGAAATTTGTGACTAAAATTATGGTAACAAAAATTATGGTAACCAAAATTATGGTAACCAAATATATTGTGAACCAAATTTATTGTGAACCAAATTATTGGCCCTAAGGTATAAAACTTAGTACAGATATCGTATATATACAGGGTGGCCCAAAAGTAACTACCCACATGCAAACCTTTAATAACTCACGTAAATGATAGGATTGATTTAGAGCTTTAAGACTTTCTACTCGAATATAAATGTGACCCAAGCATTTCGTTCAAACATGATTTAAAATTTCTGTGACCACCCCCTATGTGCCACACCCATATTTTTGTTTACAAATTTGTGCAATCAGTGTATTGTTTAAAGTAATGAATATCAAATCATACATAATTATAATACTATCTTTAAAACATCTACCTTACAAGACATATTTATGGCGGCCTAATTTGCGACGACCGAAATTTTGGCGGTCCGAAAATATGGCGAAATTGAACAAAATCGTCAAATTTCGGACGTCACAGAAAATAAGGGTATTTTTCATCATTTTTTGTGACAGTAAGCAGTAAGGAAATTTCTGAAATTCGGTAAAATCATGTTCAAACTTAGTCTGTATTAAGACTGTAAGACTTTCATGTTAGCACATACATGTATTTTAATGCAAATTTAAACTGTATTGCTTGACATTCAATTGGTCATTGGTGTGGTGATAATTTGTTCCAAGATGCCAGAATTTATTTATTTATTTTACTTGATATTACTTTTTAGAAACAAAATAAAGCAGTGAAGGCACAGTCATTGAAATATGCTAAAAGATAATGCGACGGATTCTATTACGACGACCGAAATTTTGGCGGTCCGAAAATATGGCGAAATTTTCGGAAAACCGCCACATTTCGTACGTTATAAATATGTCTTGTAAGGTATTTAAAACTACAAGAACTTCTTCAGATCTTTCTTTGTCTTCACGGGGAACTTTTCGTGATGTGAAGCCACCACCCTGACCAGCTCCTGCCATGAGTATTCGTCCCGTGTTATAGCCCCGTTGAGTCGAGTGGCTAGCGCTAAAGCCCGCTCGCAGGAGTCGTTCAGAGGCACAAGATTCCGGAGACTCCGCTTCATGTCGTCGTACTGAGGTAGAAGCCACCACTCATCTGTTGATAGGAAGGTATGGGACTCCCCGAGTAACTGGAAGATGAGGATAGAGCGAGGTCCCACGAAGTCACCTAGACGAGACTTCTCACTGATTGTAGGCAGTTGCAGTTTAGGTTTCTGGATAGGTAGAGATTGAGGCGGCAGTTTTCCTATCTTAGCCGCAAGGACTTCCTTCTCCTCGTCCGGGACTTTATCTGAGAAGAGGGCAATCGGAATCAACTCTTCTGAGAGGTACCAAGTGGGAACCGGTCACTGTGGCGGAAGTCACTGCGGCGGTGTACAGTCCGGCGGAGGACGGTACAGCGGAGGCCGGTACGGCGGTACTTTCCAAAAAGGTTGGACGGAACGGCGGATCACATGACACCCACTTTACTTTGGACAGTACGGCGGTACTACTACTACTACTAGAAACTGTACCTAAGACAGAACTTACACATTCAACTTGTTTCTAAGTTTTGTTCTAGATTCGCATTATAAGTTTTATTTTTTAATTTTCTCTTTATCATTCTGTATAATTCTTGTTAGTTTAGTTGTTCATTTTTTTTATTCAGGGCTTTGCAGACAATGTAAATCGAGAATATTGAGTTGTTGAAAATCAAAAAGTTAATATAACTTGACACACTCAATAGCAATAATATCTAAATCCCACAAATCATTATCAAGAAGTTACAGCAATCAATAATTCACAGAACACTTCTGAACAGATCCAAGTAAGCCAAGACATCATCTTCGTAAGAGTGGTAGTTCTGCACGATGCGGTGAATCCTCCTGTCCTTGTCGCTGTGAGCTTTCTTCCTCTTCGGTGGGTTCTCTCCGACCAGGTAGGCTGCGTGTTTCCCATCTGTTGAACTCTGCTCCATCTGAAGTGCTGTGATGAAGTTGTAGATGGTGGGGTTGGAGTGTCCAAGGATAGCGGAGAACTTCTTGTTCCAGGACTCCACGAAGTTGTTCGTTCTGTTCATGTGGAAGTGGGTCCGATCGTAAGCGTTCCAGGAGAGTGGAGGGAACTTGGCTCGTCCAGTACCAGAGGAGGTGGTGAGTCCCTGGATCCATGTCGTCTGGAAGTAGACGAGGAGGTCGTCGATGTCCAAGGTCGGTGGAAAGTACCGCCGTACCGGCCTCCGCTGTACCGTCCTCCGCCGGACTGTACACCGCCGCAGTGACTTCCGCCACTGAGTCCTATGCTATACCCCTCTGTAGAGATAAGAACAGCTTGAGGTCGTTTACTGCTGCATCTTCTAGGGACGGAGAAAGGAACCAGAACTGCATGTAGCAGAACACGATCCAAGGGGCTAGGAGGCGGACTTTCTCCTTCTTCTGCCAGGAGAGTTTTGATTGGTTGAGTCGATGACCGATGAGCGCCAGCTTAAGAATGTAGATCGCTTTCGACATCCACCTGGCGTGGTGGTTCGCCCCAGGACGGGAAATCTTGAAGGTCCACCTCTTCTTGCGTTCAATTGTTCCACCAATGTATAGCTTTGCCAGTTCCAGGAACTCCTTGTAGTCGCAGCGAGGAAGGAGGTGCTCGTTCTCAGGAAGAAGACGATGATCGATGAAGGATAGAAGTTCAGGAACTGAAGACCGGAGAGAAGGAGGAAGAGCAGGAAACTGGAGATGAGAAAGGTCGAGAGAATTCCATGTTGGAAGATCCTTTAGGACTTTGAAGAGGGCAACGGAGGGAGACTTCTTATCTTTTCAGGAAAAGCTTCTCTCTTCACCACTTCATCCGGTCTAGCAGAGCCCCAGTGAATTACATTCTGCGAGTTGACGTATCCGTTGATGTGGCAGTGAGCCTCGTCGCTGTACCAGATTTCGTACTCAATGTAAGGATCCGCATTTTGCTTGAACAGGAATGTGTTGGCAAAATCTATCCTCGATTGGAAATCACGGTCTAAAAGTTTGCGTTTCTTTGTGATCCGATAGGCCCGGTTAGAAAGATCTCGCTTTAGGATTCGTTGAAGTGATGATCTGCTGAGGTCTAAGGCAGGAGCTCGTTTTCGGGTGCCAATTTTAGGTGTATCCATAGATCCATCACGTCACCAACAACCATGGTGATGTTTTCTTCGATCCTCGCAGTTCGTCTTCTGTCGGCTCTTTGCCGATTGTGTGCAGAAAAAGTGAACTTGATGTTGTGATGCATATCAAAGCAGCTTTTCCGGCAAGGGGATGGTCGGTTGAATTTCATTTGAAATCGTCGTTTAAGCTGAGGGTAGAAGACTCCATTCTCTTCCTTCAAGTAGACGAACAATCGTTGTTCCGCAATATAGGGAGGATAGTGAACCATTTTCGATGATTCGATGGATGGTTTTATACCATGTCGTTAGTTAGCGCTGTGAGAATCTCATCGGTTGTCAGAGATTCCAGACCAGGCTTTTTCAAAATACTGCATGGTGTCCCTTGTGGTTGCTGTGATCTTGGGCATACCTATCATGTAATAGTTAGTATCTTCGTTCTAAAACATCGTAAGTGAGCTAGGGAAAATAGAAAAGGTTAATTTCTGCACTGAATATTAAAACGATATTTAACGATCAATCAGCCACAAGCTTAACAATTATGAGATGTAGGACAATGCGACTATACTTTTAAATCAGTCTTATCTTTTTCATAAATTACCGTAAATTGAGCTGTTGCCATTGGTCGAATTATTTTATCAGTAGAATTAGTCATTGTGATTGGTCGCACTAAACTCATCAGTCGACGTTTAAGGTTATGGTAGCAGATTAACTTAGATGCTGTTATCTGATTCGTTATCAGCTTTTATAATAGAAAAATTTGCTATTTGGTTTACCAAACAGAGATTACATTCTTTGCAGACTTATCATTATAACTATTGGGTAATGAAAGCGACCATACTTTCTGGTAAAATAAATCCTAAACATAACCTGACACCCACATAAATTATAACCTCACTGTATATCCCAGGAGTACGATTATTAAGTACGTGGTTTGGAAGGAGAAACTGACTATGTTGTGTTTCAGGAGAAGCAGCTGGTAGAGGAGTACAATACAAAGTACGTGGTATGGCAGGAGAAGCTGAAGATACTGGAGGAGAACCCAAAGAGACAGAAGGACTTGTTGCAGTGTAGGAAATATTTTGAGACTATGTTCCCGACCATAAAACGGAAACTGGAGCAGGAGGAACGTTTTAACAGGTATAGAAAACGTTTCAAGCTAGGGTTGTGCTCCTCAACCAATAATTCGTAAGGAGATCAACTGAATTCTGCCGGATATTTTACAGTTTTAGTACTCATCGTCTTGCACCTTTCATGTTTCGTCTTTACGCACAACTCTTACATTTAAAAAACATTCGATGAGCGGTGCCGAGATTTTACAATCTGTCGTATAAATTAGGAAAAACATTCATCATTATAACATCTCACTGTGATAATGTTTAAAGAGCACGGAGTTCGGGTAACGCAGTGCGGAGTGAGGCGGAGTTAGCAGAGATAGTGGAACAGTTAACAGAGCACCAGGAGAGTGAGGACAAGCAGCTGGAGACAGCAGCCACCACCCCCCACATGATGCTCAACCCTGTGGAGAAGGCTAAACGCTTTTACAACGAGAACGGTTTGTGACATATTTTTAAGACCTTTTAAAACTCACGCAATGTGCCCTGAATTCGGATTGAAATCCGCTACCAAGTCAGTCGATTCCTCCTCTCGTGGAACTTAAAATTATCAATTTAAGTAAATTATCGTTCAGGGAGGGAGTTCAGTCCAGCCCAGCAACACAAGTCTCACATCTTAACAGTGCACAATGTGTGGACGGAGAGTGAGCGACTGACCTTCAGGGAAAAGTTTGCTCAACATGGCAAAGTGTTCCACAAGATCGCCGCCAATATTCCTACTAAAAATGTTAGTACCTTTTTTTCTATATCGTTCGAATTATCGGAGACAAGGTTCTGCGCTGTTTTTTTTTTCAAAGCCGAAAAACCGATAAAAATTAAAGGATAATAAGAAAGTGATTGTTAAGATGGAACATAACGCGTCGCGTAACGCGTAACTACGTGATGCGTTACGTGCTGTCTAGACATTAGTTACAATATTTTATGCAATGTGAGGTTTCCTTAAAGAAGAACCCAATCTCCTAGGTAGCTCAATGTGTCCACTATTACTATCTGTCAAAGAAGAAGGAGAACTACAAGGCTCTGCTACCAAAGAAAAAGAGGAAGGGAATTGTACCTCCTAAAGATGTCGCTCAAATAAGCGTGAGTAAAAGAACAGGTATAATTTCGGGACTTTCTGCAGCAGTTTTTAGGTGGATTAACACTAACTACTGGCAGGTAGATTGACGGAAAATACATGAAACTTCAAGATTAAGGCCATTACTATTAGTAGATTTTGTTTTCATCTTAGGCTTCTATCAACTTGCAGACCCCGTTATCTCCCGCCACGCCGCGTATCACGAGGTCTAAGAGGGTTGAGAACGAAACTGAGTCTGGTAAAGGATGGAACGAGCAGGATATTGAGACTCTACGAGAATGTGAGTCCTTTGTCTGTTTTTTTGGTCAGCTGTTGGTATTATTGGGCATTTGTGTCCATAATCCACCAGGATTTTTACCGTCTGATTGGATATCAGTACCAGATTACCAAGATAATGATCATTCAATTTTCAGTATTGCGGAAGCTGGGCAAGAACTGGAACAAGATTGCTAAGGAGATTCCTACCAAGACAGCAGCGCAAGTCAAACACTACTTCCACAACCACAGGAAACGACTTGCCCTGGACGATTGCTTCAAGAACCCCTCTCTTATTCACGTACAGAAACTTTAACTTTCCGTTAAATTAGTTTCGTTTTCATTTTGACTTTCCAATGTTGACTGGAACTCATAAAGTGTGTTGCTTGCAGTCTTGATCATCACATGTTACCTCCGTTTGTTGACGTTGTTGTATTTACTTAAGCACTCTTCTTATTTTCAGTGCATTGACCTGCACGTTTATTTCAGAGTCAAAAGAGTCAGGAGCAGATGAAGTCTAACTCTAAAGCAGATTCCTCCGACGATTCAGGATCAAATATAGACGATTTTGATGTTGATTCTAATGTGATGTCTAATGTGAACGCTGTGATAGAAAACGGAGTCCTGGACGTAAGTCACTCTCTGAATTCCCCAAACACTCACTTACAAATCTATTTCTTTCACCCACTTGTTTGTTCTCATTCGCATGTTCACTCATTCACTAAAATTCACTCAGGGTTTCAGACCACGAATGAAAATGCTTATTCCGCTAAGATATCGTCAACAATTGTCAAAGAGGGTAATGTTTACTAAAATGATAAGGTTCCTTCGGTAAAGTGCATTGTCTAGATAGTGTTAAGGGGGGGGGGGGGGGGGGGGGGGGGGTTCACCTTGATTTTTTTGTGAAACTTGGTTTCGAGATAGCAGTTGGCCAACAAACTAGGACCAGTGACCGAACTTTTGAGGGGGTCCCGGACCCCAACCGCCAAACGGTGCCCGCGGGGCAGCCACGCCCATATTTGGTCCAAATTAGGCCCAATTTAGCCAAATACCCTGAACATGCCGAAAATCCAGATTTTAGGTGCTTTACTTGTAGCTAGTGGTCCCCTGAACTCGTATATGAATTTTCATCAAGATTGGACAAAAAATAACTGAGTTATGAGCCAAAAACCATATGACCATATTTGGGCATATGCACCAAATTTGATCGATTTTGGCCCATAAATTAGTCAAATATCAATATTTTTGAATGAAACTAACTTTATATGGAAGGTAAGCCTATACTACACATTATCTATGATTATCAGCTCAGTATCTACCTAACTGTGGATTCTGTGTTCAAATAATCGCAAAAAATGAACAAAACTGCCCATATCTCAGTTCGCGATATTTGCAAAACTGACTTCGGTGAAAACAATAGAACTCAATAGGGTTTCAATATTTTTACATGAAATTTTCAGAATCAACGTAGAATCGCATTTCGACAAATTCTGAATTTTGCATTGCAAATTTTGGAATTTGGCCGCCAAATTTTTGTAAAGGCCTAACTCAAAATTATAATACAAAACTTAAGGTCGAAATGCGATTCTACGTTGATTCTGAAAATTTCATGTAAAAATATTGAAACCCTATTGAGTTCTATTGTTTTGAGCGAAGTCAGTTTTGCAATTATCGCGAACTGAGATATGGGCAGTTTTGTTCATTTTTTGCGATTATTTGACCACAGAATCCACAGTTAGGTAGATACTGAGCTGATAATCATAGATAATGTGTAGTATAGGCTTACCTTCCATATAAAGTTAGTTTCATTCAAAAATATTGATATTTGACTAATTTATGGGCCAAAATCGATCAAATTTGGTGCATATGCCCAAATATGGTCATATGGTTTTTGGCTCATAACTCAGTTATTTTTTGTCCAATCTTGATGAAAATTCATATACAAGTTCAGGGGACCACTAGCTACAAGTAAAGCACCTAAAATCTGGATTTTCGGCATGTTCAGGGTATTTGGCTAAATTGGGCCTAATTTGGACCAAATATGGGCGCGGCTGCCCCGCGGGCACCGTTTGGCGGTTGGGGTCCGGGACCCCCTCAAAAGTTCGGTCACTGGTCCTAGTTTGTTGGTCAACTGCTATCCAACTACATCACAGAATTCAACTGATTCACCCTCAATTATTCCTTTCATAGATTTGTCTAGAATGTGGCCTAACTTTGAGTAACTACCTGTTTCCTCGCAACTAACGCTCCTTTCCCAGGGTAACGATCTAAAGCTAGAGAGCGACCCAGCAGCGATACAGAAAACACTGGAAGAGATAGAAAACTCACGTGATGCGGAAGTGCGCTCCATAGCAACCTGCATAGCAACGTCCCACTCTGAGTCCTGCAACACACTACCCCCACTAGAACCCCACCACGACAGTAACCTGCCCCGCCCCACCACGCCAGATGTGATAGCTATGGTGAGCAGTATCCAGGAGGAGTGTGCCCCCACCTCCCACCCTCCACCACCTCCTCTCCACAACCCTGCTGCTAACCCACCCCCACTCTTCTCACACACCCTCCCTCCACATATGCCTCAGATTCACAGGGGTAGTGATGTGGGGCAGGCTGCTCCCCCCTCAATGAAGCGCTGGAACAAGTTAGTACCACTTTTTAGTTTGGAGATTCTTGTTTAAAAGTCAATAACTTTGTAACGGAAATAAAAGTAGCATTGAAATCGTTTATTTAAATAAAAAACCATTTGTATTGGTCATTTATTACTTGTACATCGTATCCAGGTTCGAAACAGAAGACAATAAGACCCCAGCCCCAGACATCCAGACCCCTGGTCCACCACCCTCCACCACCAGCTCCGCCTACAAGAACCTGCCCCGACTCACTGCTAAGTCTCATGCTGGGGAGGAAACAGCAGAGGAGACGACCGCTCAGCAAGGTTAAGTTTTTATTTCTGGAGGTCGCTCCTTCTTGCTCTTGACCGTACGCAACTTATGCTGGGTTTCAGGATACAACTTTAAAATAGCGGTCTCTAAAAGGGGCGCGCATCCTTTATTAAGATAATTTGTGCAACTTTTTCATTATCTAATCCTATCGAGTGTATCTTATTGAAAAATGTCGATTTCTTCCCTGTTCCTTTATAACCTCGAATCTATAAACATTTTTGTCACTTAAATGATAAATCCTCTCAGATGGAGGTCCCACAAAGCGGAAGTACGTGTTAAGAACAGGGCCTGGACGTAAAACTAAAGACAAGTTTGTGAAGATTGAGGAGGGAGAGAAGATAACCTCCTCTGATGACGACCAAGGAGAGAAAGCTCTCAAAACCATGATGTTGAACAGGTGAGGAAACTAAACATCACGTGGTTTGATTCCACGTCACGTGGTTTGACTCTACGTCGCGTCACGTGGAGAGCTATATTCGTTTTATGTAATACATTGTTAGCATGAAAAATGTTTAATATTTTAATAGGATTTTTTTCATGCTACCCCTTGACTATAACACTCAGTGTTTCAGTAAGTAAGCATTCATCAAGATTAATAATAATTGTCAACTCTAAAAGTTGCTCTGACAGGTCTCAGAAAGAAGGATACACGATCCTCACTCCAGTAGAAACTAAAGATAACATGGGGAACCCTATAAAGATAGCTGGGTGGATTGGGGAGTCGCACATGAGGGGAGGCGACCACAACACCACCGAAACTTTCGAAGTGGTATGTTGGCGGGGGGGGGGGGGGGGGGGGGCTACGATTTATTATTTTAGCAGTTAGCTAGAGCTTTAGATTGTTCTTAGGCATTCTTATCTATAGTTTCAATAATTAATCTCACTGTTATATTTATTGTTTATGTCTTTCTTTTGATAGGCTAAAATAAAACCCGGTATTTGATGAGTCACACAAAAGTGTAACAAAGTGATAACCCCCCATCTTCAGGTGAAAGACAAAGTGATAACCCCCAAGAAGAAAGGAACAGAGAAGGGCTCAGTGGACAAGAAGTCGTCCGTATTTAAAGTATACGACTTCGACTCGTCAGAGGACGAGCCGGTGACGAGTAAGACAACGGAGAAGAAGAGGGTGGTAGGCAGAGTACCCAACCAGACTACTAGTAACGATCCTATAGCTGCTCACTTCTCCAACAAGATAGCTAACAAACAGTCTCGCACTATATCTATTGGTAAGGGATACATCTGTGCTAACAAACAGTCTCGCACTATATCTATTGGTAAGGGATACATCTTTGCGAGCGATTTGTTTTAAAATGTAGTAGGGTCAAAAACTAGTACCGACCATTTATAATGCCATTTTCGAAAATGCCTGTCTATCAATCTGGCCTAAGTTATAAATAGCATATCAAGTAACTATCTTTAACAATGTTATCACACCAACTAGGAGGTGGAAGTGAAACGGATGACGCAGACGAAACAGAGGAAGCCAGGAAAAAAGTGAGCAGACCCTCATCATCTTCTTCTAGCTGTGACCTACCGCTCTGTTACGACATGTCAGATGAGACCAACATCACCCAACCCAACATGTGAGTAAACTGATTCTAAATGCCCATTGTCCATATCTTGCATAAAATCAGTTCCGTAGCCACAATTGAAAATTAAATTATATCTGATTCTCTCAACTCTTCAAGTTTCATCGTAATCTTTCACCCCAACTCCATTCATACACCCACCAATAACCATATTCTAAGCCAGACACCCTAAAATCCTAACATCTCATTCAACCAGGACGGGAGAAGGAGATACTAAGAGTTCTGTAATTAACAGACACGAGGACAAACAGCCCTCTATCAGGAAAACTATTCTCAAATCTCAGCAAGACTTATCAGTTAAACAACAGCAACAGGTAAAGAGTTGATCAAACATGTACAATGTACAATGCAAATGTACATTCATCATAAGTTACATTTCTAGGAAAACTGTGTTTTTTAGATCGTTGCAAGAACTACCCCATTTCTTTCCAAACGTCAGCTTACATTCCTATCACCTAACAGCAGCAAGCACACGCCGTCATGAAGAAAGAGAACGGTCCGATAGTGACAATCTCACCCGCACCACCTGCATCTTCAGGGGTTGTTCTGGGGTCTTTACCAGGGACAGTGTCTGGGGCCATGTCAGGAGCAGTGGCAGGAGCTGTGTCAGCTACAGGAAATGTCATGACAGAGGAGATGGCGAGTCTGCTGGCTAGCAACCCTCACCTCGCTCAGGCTCTCTCTTCAATGAGCCTCCCAGTCAGCCGTGAGTTTGTACTGTCTTTATCACATTTCTTAAAATGCATTTAGAATGCAATTAGGATAATCATATACATGATAATAATAAATGTATAAGCCCCCGCTTCCCCTCTCTCTCGCCATGTCAAGGCTCTCCTTAACTCAAACTTGTTCCCTCCAAGATACCTCGAAGCAGGATACACTGAGGTACCTACAGACCAGTATGGGACAACATGCTGCTCAGCAACATGCAGCTCAACAACAAGCTGCTCAGAGAAATGTTATGAGACTCAAACCCTCAGTTAGTCCTGGCAACTCCGGCGACCATATCATAAGGAGGAGCCCTAACTCAGGTAATTTTCTCTCATTGCATCAAAGTTTTCTCCGGACATACTGCTTCTAGTACCTTGATGGCGACTTGTGTCACTCTCACCGACCTCACTGATTGGTCACTGGTCAAAAAATCAGTCAAAACCGCAAAATTTGGGTCAAGGAGACGGCAGAAAAGCTTCTCTTCAAAAATCTTCCAAAATCTCATTTTATGTTTTAATGATATTCCGTTAATCAAAGCTTTATTTGAGAATAAAACTTTCAGTACCACAATTGTGTCTCCTGCTATCCTCAGTGACCTTGCTAGATGGCCTTTCATGAAAAATGCAGTCAAACAGTGAAATTTTAATTATGAAAACATTATTCCTCAATCCTCATGAAGTGAATAATTCCTAATATAATGGAAACCATACAATGTAGATTGATATTAAATCGGTTTTTGAACAAAGCAATCTCTTAAATCATATGGCAACTCAAAATAATCTTTTACTGGACATAATTTAGGAAATCTGTCGTCGTGGTAATCATTAAATGACTTTTTATCTGCTATTGATGTAGGTGTCCAAGATGGAGGTGTGATAGGGTATCGACGTATCGTTACAGAATCTTTAAGTTTATCCAACAAATCTTTCATGCGATTAAAATTGTCAAATATCATTCCCTCCAGTGGGAACATTATTACAGTACACTTCACCCGTGCTCTTGACATAGTTATGTAAAGAATCTCTATGTCGGCCGCTTTCCTGAAAATAAATTCCCGATTTAAGTTCAGTTTCTCAATCGTCTCAATATGATAGTCTAGGAGCGTTTGAAGAACAATAACTACTGGCCACTCTGATGAATATGTAGACACGTGTGGCAAAGGTTTCATAACTTCTGGTAGTTCCTTACCAATGTTCTTAACCAAAGATCTTGTTTCAACATCAATTGCAGTGTAAATAATCCTTAAGTCACTTTGACTTATTATTAAGCCATCTGCAGATAACTGATTCATTTCCTTAGCGTAGATAGAATATATCAAATCATTGTTAAAGTTCTCCAGGACATGTATGGTGGTTTTTGGTCCATGTATGTAATGCCCGGGTGTTTGTAAAGGGAAGATTATATCCATAACATCTGACACTGAACTTCTCGACTCCATCACTTTATTCCTTATTATTTCAAAAGTCTTAGATAAGTTATACGTATTTCTCAAGTTCTTTACTAGACTCACTTGCTGTCGAGGAGACAATCTGTTTTGAATAAAATTGGGTAAATTCGCATTAGATTTTGTAGTGGAATAAACCATTTGTATGAAATCGCATGCCACCCAGACGTAATTTCTGTCTGATAGGCGGAGGAGGGATTCGATGATTTGATAGTTGTCCTGTTCCACTACAGGAGAACCAAGAATTGTTTGTATTTCATCAACAAACACGTGTACGTTGATGTCCCGTAATGAATCAAACAATCCATTCAGCCATTCAGTATTTTGTAAAAGCTTTAAGTTATATTGAAGACCGGCTGGTACTGCTATGATAACTTGAAAATCTTGCAGTAAGGTAGATATTTCAGAACATATTTGAACTGGTGTCTCGGAGACCAGAACAAATTTTATACAAACCTTTACACCGGCTTTGAGGAGAACCTTCTGATAATGATCTGAGGGCTTTCTATCTTCCACTAAACAATTTAACACCACTTTGTTTTGTTTATTTGACAAAGCTAGCTGCAATATTTTAGCTGACATAACAACGGTTTTACCCGTTCCTGCGGGTCCATTAATCCACAAAAACTTCTCAGTTGAATTGATTATATCATTCTGTTGTTTGGTCAAGTTGTCTACTGCCCAAAAAGTCCTTGAAAGTTGCCGTTGTTGGAATAACTTCAGGGTTACTGCTCCTGAATGTAAATCTTCCTGAGCGCAGTTGCTCATCTATGACTGATATGCACCTGCCTAAACTGCATTTAGATGGATCACAAGTGTTATTTTTTGTGCACCACACAGCTAGCAACATGTTCCTTACTTCCTCATGCTTGGTGCGAACTCTGAGTGTAATGGTTCGTCCAAGGATAGATCACTTACATTGTCTTTCCACCAAACCTTGAAATCATGAATGTCTTCTGCGAAAAGGACTGTTGATTTGTCTTCTCTTTTCAACTGGAATCTATTCTCGTATTTCCTTTGGAAATTAGGATATGCGGTAAATTGAAAAATAGATAAGCGTTTGCAGAATCTTCTAATAAATCTTTTTAACTTTTCTCTTTGCTCGATCGATTTTCTAAATGAACCGGCCAATGATAGTGACATTTCTTCAGTACACCAAGATTCTGATTGGGCTCCGATTTTTGGCCCGCAAATATTTTTGACTTCAATTATAACAAAATAGTTGGCACCTATGATCACAAAATCGCACTCGCCTTCTCTATTAGCTGCCATCTTTTTGCACTTCATACATCTTTGTTTATCGTGATTGGTGTCACCCAAATAGAATTGGTGGTGAGTGAACTCCAAATTATGAAGAACAATGAAATTTTCGTCTTGACTTTCTAATGCCCTGTAAACTATTACCTCTGCCTCATAGTTCAATTGCTGTTGTTTATCGTTTCGAAAACTACATGTGGGCTCATCTTCGTTTGCATAGAAGTCAACATATTGCTGCTGAGGGGCTCTGGGAAGCATGATGGGTTGTGGGTCTCTATTCGAGCAGTAGAAATCGAATATCTCCTTTCCATTTCGTAGGTATTTTTCATACTGTGTTTCTTTATGGGTCATTTGTTGCTGAAATATGATTATTTTGATGAACGATGTTTCCAATAAGAGAATAAAATATTAAGTTTATCATAATCATGTCAAAATTTAGTTTACCGCAACTATTTCGCCTTAGCAAACTCTTCAGAAAAAGTTTAACCAAATAAGATTAAATCGTTGAGCACCAGCTACCAAATTGTAAAATAGAGTGATTGATTCACGTGAAAAATTAGAATATAATAATTCAGGTATTACTGTTATCACTGCAAACTACTAAACTAGAAAGATTCTGATGTAAGGGTCTGCCCACACTACGCCATGTGGCGACTAGACGGGCCACATGGCCCGATTCACCTAAACACACTGTGCCACTTGGCGTAAGTAGTCACGCCATGTGGCCCGTCCTCTAAACACACTGTGCCACTTGGCGTGGATTTAGCAAGGGGACTAGAGGCACGGATTTTAAAAAGCTCCCGCCAGTTGGCGTGGAAACTCTCGAGGAATTCTGGCACGGATTTTAAAAATCCATGCCTCTATTCCCCGAGAGTTTCCACGCCAAGTGGCACAATGTGTTTAGGTGAATCGGGCCATGTGGCCCGTCGCCACATGGCGTAGTGTGGGCAGACCCTTAACGACAAACTCAAAATGCAACAGTAACTTTATCTGCGTGATAGAGAGATAGCAGCATACATAAGGAATCATAGTACAACAACATACTAGTAAAACCATAGAATTTTAGCAGGAATGTACTAATACTATGTACAATGTATTTGTAGTTGAGACTTGTAACATAATATCACTGAACACTTGTTCAATGATTGTTCAAAGTGACAATTTAGCTAAATAAAAAAACTTCACTAAAGTATTTCAAAGATTATATGACCTGAACGTGTACTCATGTTACTGTTGACGAACGACTATATTATAGCTACGATAAAGCAGCTATATATAAAATCATTTGTTAACGACGACGTCGACACACCACATTAGAAATAACGTACTTGCTGTGATGGAAACGTATATATAACATGTATAATATGTATATGCAAACTTCTTTTCGTGATCGAGTTACATCGATCTAATATTTATTTATTTTTAAACAATTATGTATTGTATGTGTGTAAGTGTCTCGTATGTTCTTGAGAAAAATATCCGATAAGTCATTGCTTTAATTTTCACACATCATTCATAATATTCTTCTAGGACCTAGTATTTTGTGGTAGGAGATAATGAGAAATCCATAATCATTGTCCAGTTATCCCAGTCACCGTACTGTTCTATATCCCAGATTGTTGGAGAGATTAGGAACTAAACCTCATATTTTCAGTTATACAGACAGATGCAGGATACTTGAAGAGTAAGAACAAGGAGACTATAGCCAGGTCAGCAGCAGGACAACAGTATGTTCAGATGATGTCTGGTTATCCGGAGTCCTCCAGGCAGCAACATCAAACCATCAGGTACTTTCTTATACTGTTATCAGTTTTCATCTCCTCATTTTCAGCCTTGTTCCGTTTATGTATTTTCTAATTTGCCGTGTTTTCCCGGATATCAACAGTTTAAAATATAATCAAACGCCCCTCAAACTAGCTCCCCCAGGTCGATGCCGACTGCGAGAGTTCTGCACCCTGAGAAGCGACCTATATCTGGGTCAGGTTTGCCTGGATCAGGCGGTTCAGCTTTCTCCCAGTTTAAATCAGCTATAATACCACGGACTGAAGATCTGTCCACCATCATGGACCAACAGCGGAGATCTAGAGAACAGAGAACCTTGGTTAACCATCTAACAGAACAACAGAAACACAGGACCACATCACCTGAACAGCGCAGATACACTGTTGACAGGCAGAGGTTACAAGAACAGAGCAGAACACTAGCAGAGCAGCAGCGGAACAGAACACTAGCTGAACAGCAGAGTAGAACTATCGCAGAACAACAGAGTAGAACTATCGCAGAACAACAGAGGAGTATAGCTGAGGCACAGCAGAGGTCCTTGATCGAACAGAGAGGAGCTGCTGGTCTGACTGAGGCACAGCAGAGATCCCTGATCGAACAGAGAGGAGCTGCTGGTCTGTCTGAGGCACAGCAGAGGTCCCTGATCGAACAGAGAGGAGCTGCTGGTCTGTCTGAGGCACAGCAGAGGTCCCTGATCGAACAGAGAGGAGCTGCTGGTCTGACTGAGGCACAGCAGAGATCCTTGATCGAACAGAGAGGAGCTGCTGGTCTGTCTGAGGCACAGCAGAGGTCCCTGATCGAACAGAGAGGAGCTGCTGGTCTGTCTGAGGCACAGCAGAGGTCCCTGATCGAACAGAGAGGAGCTGCTGGTCTGTCTGAGGCACAACTGAGGGGGTTATCAGTGTCGGGAATGACTGACATGCAGGCGTTAGAGCATGTAGCGAGGTCTATAGCGGAATCCCAACAACAAGCTGTGGCGAGGTCTCTAGCAGAGTCACAGCAGGCAGACGCTGCCAGACAACAGAGGCTGTTACATCAGGAGTTAGCAGCAGCTTTGGCAGCTCATACTCAATCCCCCAACCAGCTTCAACAGGTACTGTGGTGGGGTATTTTACTGTGTATTTTAACACTGTGTGGTAGATTTGAGCCCGTCTAACAAGTCCAACATATTCCGTACTGCTTGACAAAATATCATTCCAATCAAGTGTTCTAGAACAGATCATGTTTAAAGCAAACAGAAAAGGTTTCTGCTCATATATTATATATAACTGTAAATGTTTCAGATGATGCAACAGCAGCAACAGCAACAACAGCAACAGCAGCAACAGCAGCAGCAACAGCAGCAACAACAGCAGCAACAGCAACAGATGAGGGCACTGACAGATCAGATTAATCCTGAGTTGTTGGCCAGGACTGGGTTACCTGCTTTGCTTCAACAGCTGTCCAACCAGCAACAACATTACAAGGTTAACATTAATTCTCTTATCTATTTCTTATCTCATCTCCTATCTGGACTTCCTAGCAGTCTATTCTATCAATCACAGAAATCTCATAAGGTTGCAGTAATATGTTTACCGGTTATAATCTTAAAACCCCTAAACCCTGATCTCAACAGTCAAGTGGAGCTGATCAGAGGGAGATAGAACGAAGGTTGGAAGCTATAAGAAAACAACAGGGTTTTATCGGTAAGTTATCACATAAGTATTACTATTTGTAAACTACAAATGTAGTAGGTTATATTACAATGTAGTAGGTTATAAGTGTACTACTACTAGGTTATATTCCTTGCTGCAGATATAACAGAAGCTTTAGCCTATTCTACTCTGCAGATCCTGCATAATTCCACCTTGAAATACGTTTCAAATGTAACATTAGTCTCGTTGCTTAATTCACAAATCTGTCAATATAAATCCCCTGTTTTAAAGTAATTATTAATGCTAATAAATTTAATTATTAATTGTCTATGTTCGTCTTGCAGGAGGGGGTAGCAACATGTACATGCCGCGGTTCTACGTTCAACCTGATATGATCCCAATACCGTCCAGTATGTACTCTCATAATACCGAGCCCAGTAAAGAGGGTGACAAGTGACGTCACATACCATGTGTTAGGACGTCACGCACCACGTGTTAGGACGTCACGCACCACGTGTTATGACGTCACGCACCACGTGTTAGGACGTCACGCTCCATGTGATTTCACGTAATGATCTACCTGAGGACTTGTTTTAGGAAACTCTTGACTTAGATTGGGTGTGCAATGTGCATACATGGCATGATAATAATTTTCAATATTGTGGGAGTTACATTCCGTATCGGACTTGACCGCATCGTTGAGGCTGAGGGACGGGAATTGAAATTTGAGGACGCAGTGAACCTTAAAGTTAATGACTTAGATTGTCAGTTTGGTGAATGATTGATATTGATTCTTAGTATTATTTGTTTAGCTATTTTTGAAAGATAACTGTTTTAGTGCTTTATTCCCAACACAAAATTTCCAGAATCCCGAACCCTTGTAAGATTTTAATAGAAACTTCCGAGGAAATTTAAATTTTCCTGCTAAACCTTCAAATATACTAATTTAAGGTTCACAATTGATAAGAATGTCTGATTTGTAACTTGACGGTTAAACTAACCTCTCCTCCCCTACAGGATGGTTATGTAGTTTAGTTGCAGATATAACTAGTAGCAAGTACAGGGGACACTCCAACAGTTGATATATCCTGGCGTCCTCTGTAGATAATACAGGACACTTAGAACTCAAGACAGATAAAACACCACTCCAACTCATCATAGCATACAGAGCCATCCTCCGCAACTCTAGCACCTCCCTCTGTAAACATGCCATCCTAATCCTCTTCATCACCCTCACCCTCCTCCTCGTCTTCTTCCTCACCTCCCCTCTCCCTCCCACCACCGATGTAGAAATACTCCTAGTTGACCACTTCCCTGACTTTGATATAACAGATGATAACCAGACTTTAGCCTACCTCCTGATTCCGGGATGTAGTTCCCGGTACCTGGACATGTTGGAGACCTGGTCACGGTACCCCTGTAGGAAGGTATCAGGAGGTAGTGTGTGTGAGCGGGAGAGTGGGTCCAGGTGGTTACTCTCCGGGAGAACAGCTGGGAGACCTGCTGGAAGTCTGCCTACTTACAGTAGCTTCATGGATATGCCGGGTGGAGGGACAACTACATCACGCTCTGTCAATGTGCCATCCTGTCCATAGGTATCTGTCCGAGTACAGGTCCAACAAGGAGCGGCCTCAAACTTGGTGGAGGAAGTGTAATGTGAGGAAGGTTGGAGAACGATACCCCTGTGACCCTCCGGACTCTCTAGACTCCTTCCTCCAGTGTCCCAACAACCCTGCCTTCAACAGAGTCACCAAGATGCTAGCCTACGGCCAGTGCACCTTGACCCGTATCCCCCCTGACCACCGCATCGAGCGCTACTTACTTGACTCTGCCATGGTGAACCTGGAGAACTTTACTTTCGTAGGAATTGATGAGTTCGCCAGCGCTTCTGAGGGTCTTTTGTTCGACTCGTTGAACATACAGGGCACCGATCAACACAGCCTAGCTTTTAACCAGGGACTCACTGAGCGGTTTAACATCACAGAGAAACAGTATAGAGAGATAATCCATCTGAACCACCTTGACATGACGCTGTACTACCATGCTATACGGGTCATGGCAGCTAGAGCAGAGTATGCAGGGGTGTATGAGGGGTTGTTTGCGGAGTTAGAGTTCCCTACTGACATGCCTGGTCCCTGGGATTCTGCTCTGGAGTATTTCCTGGAACAAGGGTTGTATCTGCCGTGATTCTGTTATCTGGATAATATGATTTAAATACAACTTGTGGATGAGCGTTTGTGTTTATAGCCAATCTTTATCATGATTATCTTAAAGGTGGCAACTGTGATTATGTTAGAGTAGTATGCTCGTTTGAGTCTTATTACAAAATCAACTTAGTTATAATATGTTAGTTATATGCTTGACAAATTTATTATTTTTTACTATGACAAAAATTAAAACTCTTCAAGTTATCATTTGTATTTAGTATTAACTTAATAATGGAACTTTTATATATAATAAGGAAATTTTTATATATTTTTTATAACAAATAATTTTTTTTCAGTTAATAAGTTTATAATAGCAGTGGACCTCATCAATTTAACGGTCCAATCAATTTTTACATAATTTTATTAATATTACTTGCTAGCTGGATCTGTGACATATGCAAATTATTTATATAAACTCGCGTAGAAATATCAGATTTGGTAAAATCCTGTTATTGTTATTCATTGTATTTCAGAATTCAGATTAGTATTTCAGAATTCAGATTAGTATTCCAGAATTCAGATTAGTATTTCAGAATTCAGATTAGTATAGTATATTTATAATAGCATCATTTCAACAAAGATATTCATTTTCGTAAACTCCGTGCTTTACTTTTGGCTGTAATCGAAACACGTTTTCTATATACGTGATATTATAATCAATTAAAACCCTAGAATGGCTGAAATTTATTCCGATCAAAATAAACCACGACGTAACAATCTTTAAAACCCTTTTTTATTCTCACCTGAATAATTAAATTCGCTGTTTCTTTTACTCACCTTCATACTCCCCAGCTATTACATGGAACTCGGATATACTACCAACTTCTCACACTGAACTGTAATACTCTTCCCCCTCTCAGCTGCTCTCAACAACTCTCCTGATATGAACTAACCAAAACAACCCTCTTCTAACACCACTATTCCTCACTGAGGACTCCTCAAACTCCTCATTAGCTCACTATATCTCCTCCACTTCCACCCCATCTCCACCTAACACCCCACCCACACCACCACTGGTGGGGCCACCACCCCACAGCTCCCCACCCGCATGCTATGGAGTGGGTACCTGAGGAGGTTAAGATACACATCCTCTCCTACCTTCCCCTCTCTGATCTCTGTCAGGTCACTCTCCTGTCTCGATACTGGCACTTCCTCGCTCTTGATCACGTCAGTTTTTGTAGTGTTATTCATGTGGGTTATTTCTTACTTCATTCGTTAGTTTCTTAACCTCTTCTTTGAGAACCAACATTGTTTTTCAGAACTTTGATCGGAATGTAGTCCTTACTTGTCAACTGGTTTGAATACAATTGTTACAGTCATTGTGGAGGTACGTCCCGACTAATGAGCGAACTACAGACGAGACATTGTACAAGATTATGGAGAAACACTGTTTCATGACTCATTTTAACTGTGAGTTTAGTAGAGATAAAGAGTTACTTTCAATAAGTTATACTTTTTATAAATATAACGGATCATCATTTTGTTTTGAAAGTAAGCAATTATTCTTTTGCCAAAAATGTTGGCTTCTATGATGTACTAATTCTCTTTAAAAAAGGTGACTAACAAATTGTTGCCTATCAGATGACAACAGTAGTGAAATAACGGAGACAGGATTATCTAGAGTCTTTGTTCAGTGCGGAAAGACGCTCACTCACATCTACCTGGTTTACTGTGATGTTGTGAGTATAATAGGTCACGTGGTCTGTAACTTCATGTCACGTGGTCTGTAACTTCATGTCACGTGGTCTGTAACTTCATGTCACGTGGTCTGTAACTTCATGTCACGTGGTCTGTAACTTCATGTCACGTGGTCTGTAACTTCATGTCACGTGGTCTGTAACCTCATGTCAAGTGGACTGTAACTTCATGTCACGTGGTCTGTAACTTCATGTCACGTGGTCTGTAACTTCATGTCACGTGGTCTGTAACCTCGTGTCACGTGGTCTGTAACTTTATGTCACGTGGTCTGTAACTTCATGTCAAGTGGTCTGTAACTTCATGTCACGTGGTCTGTAACCTCGTGTCACGTGGTCTGTAACTTTATGTCACGTGGTCTGTAACTTCATGTCAAGTGGTCTGTAACCTCATGTCACGTGGTCTGTAACCTCGTGTCACGTGGTCTGTAACTTCATGTCACGTGGTCTGTAACTTCATGTCAAGTGGACTGTAACTTCATATCACGTGGTCTGTAACTTCATGTCACGTGGTCTGTAACCTCATGTCAAGTGGACTGTAACCTCATGTCAAGTGGTCTGTAACTTCATGTCAAGTGGTCTGTAACTTCATATCACGTGGTCTGTAACCTCATGTCACGTGGTCTGTAACCTCATGTCACGTGGTCTGTAACCTCGTGTCACGTGGTCTGTAACTTCATGTCACGTGGTCTGTAACTTCATGTCAAGTGGTCTGTAACTTCATATCACGTGGTCTTTAACTTCATGTCACGTGGTCTGTAACCTCATGTCACGTGGTCTGTAACTTCATGTCACGTGGTCTGTAACTTCATGTCACGTGGTCTGTAACTTCATGTCACGTGGTCTGTAACTTCATGTCACGTGGTCTGTAACTTCATGTCACGTGGTCTGTAACTTCAGGTCACGTGGTCTGTAACTTCATGTCACGTGCTGGATAGGTGTTCTTGAAGCATATAAATGATACAATAGTTTACAAACTACAATTAATAATAGAAGCTTTTAAAAAACATGTGTTAATTATCTTCAGCTTATATCACGTGGTCTATTTCGTCACGTGGTTTCTAGAATCTACCACGTGACACTACACATTTCAGTTATCGTCAGACCTGATCAGTGTAATAGTGGACTACTGCGTGTCGCTTGTTCACCTTGACATCAGTGCTAACCCCTGTGTTGATGATGCCACGATGTGTCAGCTGGCTAACTGCCTGAATCTCTCGTCTCTGAACATTGCTAACTGTGACCGGGTCACTGACGGGTTAGTTTTCAGTCAATCACGTTAGTTTTGTAATGGAACAGTTTATTTTCTCAGATATACTCGGTAATAATTGTTTCCTATACGATCACCTGGTGATTTGGCGATTCTTATCAAATTCATCAATCCTTGATATGAGTTTAAGATTTATAATTGTAACAAATCAGAGGGCTGGAGATGTTAATCAGTCAGCGGCCCCTGAGGAAGCTGAACGCTAGTTACCTCCTGGACGTCAGGCTCAGAACTATAGAGAACCTCATCAGCTTCTGTCCTCAAACTCTTCACACTCTTTATCTAGGTGAAATTAATTAACTTTCCCTAGTAAAGTTTTTCCCCGATGCACTTATATATACTTATATATAATGTATTCGTCAAGTCACCATGGTAGACAATGAGATTATATATAATCTCGTTGTCTACCATGGTGACTTGACGAAAAAAGTAAAATCGTGATAAAAAATTCCCTCTTGCAGTAACCATAGTATAAGTGCTGGTTTGTGACAGTAACGGTGATAACTTTAATTATGGTGGCAGTAACCACAGTATGAGTAACAATAGCCACAATAACATTAACCAAAATAACAGTAACCACAGCCAGTAACAGTAACCACAGCCAGTAACAGTAACCAAAATAACAGTAACCAAAATAACAGTAACCAAAATAACAGTAACCAAATAACAGTAACCAAAATAACAGTAACCACAGCCAGTAACAGTAACCTAAATAACAGTAACCAAAATAACAGTAACCAAAATAACAGTAACCACAGCCAGTAACAGTAGCCAAAGTAACAGTAACCAAAATAACAGTAACCAAAATAACAATAACCACAGCCAGTAACAGTAACCATAGTAACACTTCCCTCTACCAGATGGAGGCAATCTCCGTGACGAGGACGTTGCAAAGATAGGACAGTTATCTGCGCTTATGTCGTTAGAGATTCAGTACTGCGATGAGATATCAGACACGGGCGTGGCGGCGTTATCTCAACTCTCTAATTTACGTGCGCTCCGGTACTGACAATTATTAATTAGCTGATTTCGCAGGTAAACTGTATTTTTCCTCTATACTATTACTTTTTTTATTAATTTTTCTGAAAAACGTGCCAATAAGAATAATTGTCCACTATAATTTGATAATGGAATATCCCCCAGATTGTACAGGAGTTTTAACTTGACAAGTTTGTGCGTTAGTCAGCTAGCTGTCAAACTACACTTCCTTACTGACCTCCTCTTAAGTGACTGTTCTGAGGTAAGCTTGTGGTATGTAGTGGTAACTGGTTACCATGGTAAAGTGGTAAGCTTGTGGTATGTAGTGGTAACTGGTTACCATGGTAAAGTGGTAAATTGGTGGTTGTAGCGGTAACTGGTTACCATGGTAAAGTGGTAAATTGGTGGTTATAGCGGTAACTGGTTACAATGGTAAAGTGGTAAATTGGTGGTTGTAGCGGTAACTGGTTACCATGGTAAAGTGGTAAGCTGGTGGTATGTAGCGGTAACTGGTTACCATGGTAAAGTGGTAAATTGGTGGTTGTAGCGGTAACTGGTTACAATGGTAACGAGGGAATGGCTCTCTACCGCGATGAGTCCACTGTTGATTAATGATACCACGTTACCATGATAATGTACTGCATATTATACTTATTATGCACACGGGTAATGGCAGTACTATTGCAGGTTGACGACAGAGGGTTAGTTTCAATAGGCCGACACTGTTCCAACCTGCGTGATCTGGAACTAACACAGTCGTACTGCCAGACACTCACAGATGTGGGACTTAGTGCTGTGCTGGTGGGCTGCCCTCGACTCCAGCGTCTAGTCTTGAAGGGACTCAAGGGGGTCCGGACTTTTATTACTCTAGTACCAGGTACAGGGAGTTTTATTATTATGCATTTTATCTTGGTTTTGTATATTAATGAATGAAAATGTATTAGGTTAATCATTAATAGAATCAGGAATGCCTTCCTTTGACCATGTATTGACAGTGAAGACACCTTGCAATGACTGCATATCCGAGGAACACTGTTAACGTTGTGTCCACTAATCCAGTCCCTCCCTCAGTGCTCGAAAGAAGATGTCTGAGGTTCCTGCATCTGGGGGGTTGTCAGAACATACCAGTGGTGCTGCTAGAAGCAGTAGCTGCCTTCTGTCCTGATGTTCAGATATTCGGCCACTACGCTAACAAGGTCAAGAAGTCTGACTTTGTAATGGACTGTCTGAGAAAAACTGCTCAAGATGAGGAGAGTAGCTCTGAAGATAAGGACTGTGGATGAACGGTTGAGTTTGTGTAAGGAGCAATAAGATGCTGTAAAATGATACTAAAGGGTATGATAGGATGTGTATTAAAGTATTAGCGCAGTGAAGCAAGGGACGCTGCATGTGCTAATATTACTTGACGACATTAATTAAATACAATGGTTACTACGCACTTTTTCTGGGACTAAGCTTTTTTTTCGGTTGTATATAAATTTACGCATGTTAAATAAAAAGTATTTTGTATTATTTTTACCGAATTTCAATTTATTTGATAGTATATTTGATGGTGTAAAGAAGTCGGTTTGGGTTAAAACTGGTTCATATTTTAATCATTGTTATTCTGGATAATATATTTTTATGTAATTTTTTATCGCGATCGGTTGGCGTACACAGTTCTGTGACCCTATAAGTATATTTTGAAAGTGTACTTTGAGAAGTGCACATGATGTTGCGTCCTTTCTGACGGGTTGTGAAAACTTTCCAGTTTCCTGTTCGTTATTTTGCTATTTTAGCATCACTTATAGTGGCACAGTCTGTGGTATAGGGATTGTTCATATTTATACGTAAGCTTGCTTTAACTAATAACTTCGAGTACCTAGTCCTACTTCGTATTTTAAAAGTTATTTGGCAAATTTAAGCATTAAATTTAAAAATAAAACTGTACTCGCCGGGCACGTGAAATCGTACAAGTACAACAATATGAATAAAGTTTCTCAGAAATTTGGAACGGTCAACTTATATTTTGTTGATTGGCTCCAATATGATATTGATTCGTTAATATAAAATTAAATTTAAACGGCCAGCCTCTGCACCTACAAAGTTTCATTAAGACACCCTAAGAACGGTTAATCTGGGAAATCCCACACAAATTGGCACACCGCCAAATATCACACTAGGCTGTGTTAGATTAAATAAATTGCGATGACAATTATTACTGATATAAATTTATATTTTCCCACTGAGAATACTGAAACAGTGAATTACTATTCGGATTCCATGTTCCAGAACAATGTTTTATTAATGAATTCAGACCTGATGATTGGTATAGGACCGTATTCGTGCCGGTACAGATACTGATAGTACAAAATTTGCCCATTCGCATTGTTTATAGTTGTTAATGTTATCTAAGTTTAACTAATTGGACTGACCTGGAGCGCGTTAACTTTTCTCATGCGCTTTTAGCTTTGCCTGGAGTCAAACATTTTTAAGAGATTTAGTTGATACATGTTTCGTCGGCGCGCGAAAAGTGGCATGCAACGTATGTCAAAGATTTAGAGTTAGACCATATATCTATATCAACATTTGAAAAAAACATGGAATTGCCATTAATAATTACTTTTCAGTACACTGCACCAAAAGGTCTGACTCCCGGTATAAGACACGAAGACAGAAGAACTCGAGAGTGTGGACTGTGGATCAATTCAATGGCGTTATTTTCCTAAAAGGGTGGACAGGAGGGCGGATCACATGATATTGATACTCACTATAAAATGGATGGTGGGACCAATACAAACACTGTCTCAAATGATGAACTAGTAATAAACTTGTAACACAATCTGATTCTTTTGTTTAACAGTGCAGTTTATAAGCGTCAAGTTGACGCCGTCAACGGTCAACCTACTTTTATATTTTATAGTAATATCTTGTAGCTGTCCACACATAAAATAAAACCATGTTCAACAATTAAACTACACCTGATAGTGATAATACTTTACTGGTAAAACATAAAATAACACGGGTTTTTGAAGTTTTCAAAAATGTCCAACCCTTATTGTGACTTTCAGTTTAAAGCAAATGAACACAATGTTAGTTTAACATCATTTTAGTTTAAGAAAAGTACCGCCCTTTTGTCCTCCGTCCACGTGTCCGGTTACTTTGACTCCACGATAATATACTAATTGAAATAGTCACAACAGCATTGGTTCGAACGTGCACACACTTTGATTCAGCCATAGATGTTCACCTTTGAACCATCAAATTCAATAAGTTTCTATAGTTACACACAAATATTTCGTGGCTTGATTTATATTGAATTTGGAATTGTCTCAGGTCTCTAAGACCTAAAATATAATGACCCGATCGAGCACATGACACGAACTCCCGTCACCAAGGATCATTCCAGGAGCTGTTATCACATCCGTTCACGGAGATGACATACAAGAGGGCTGGGAACGGAATGAGTTGGTGCAACTAGTCACGTTTTTTCAGCTACAAAACCACCATGACCAACTCAACCTCTTCACTTCTTTTTGGCCATCATAAGAGCAAGGTGCAGTTTATAAGATTCTCGAACTTTTGTTCCATTCGGTGATTTTCCCAATGTTTACGATACACGTGGGCACTTTCTTGTGTCTGCTAGGCTGTGCATCTGCTCTAGCAGTTAACAGATCCACCATTGAGCCGGACCATAACTGGAAGTTCCAGTTTCCCGTGAAAGCCTCCACTTCGTACGTTGAGTCAACCACAGAGATACCCATGGATTTGAACCAGTTCACTATTTCCTTCTGGGTAGATGATGTAACTGATAATTACATTGCATATTTTTCTACGCCCGGCAGAGAACTACAGCTTTACTATGATAGAATATATACTTATGTCAGTAGCTATAGCTCCGTCTGGGTCAAACGACTGCATTTATTTGTCAATGGGGTTGAAAAATATTGCGACAACTGTCTTCGTCCCGGTAGTAGGAAGCATATCGTGGTGACTTGGTCTGGCACAGCTGATGCTAACGGGGTAGGGTCTATTTGGGTCAACGGAGCGAAGTGTTCTCTTTCAGTGGTCTGTCTGCAGGGTCCGTCATTGAGAAGGGTCTTCGGTTGAAGCTAGGACAGAGACATGACAGCAGTTCTACTTACTCCTTCCGAGGAGAGATCATGTACTTTAATGTGTATCCTACTTACGTCACCACGTCTGATCATGTAGCAAAGCTTTCCAAGAAGGCAACAAGTGATTCTGAAGCGGTTCTATCTTGGGGTTCCTTCATCGGAGGGGCAAACGGTGACGTGGTCATATACCCAGAGTTGGAGATATTCACACAGTCTTACATAGCCGTCACGTGTCGTTCGAGCAACATGACATTGACCCTCGACCGCTCTGCATTCCCCCATCTCATCCCATCCAGGGCCTCACTTAAAGACCCGAGTTGTAAGGTCGTTGCAGATGACAATTTTATAAATGTAACCACAAATTGGGCTAGCTGTGGCACTGTCGTTACTTACAATGAATCTATGGCATACTACACCAACTACATTGTCCCTGACATTCTAAACCCACCTGATCATACGTCTGACTCTGAGGAAACTGTCCACGCTGTCATTAACCGTGGATCAATAGCACTAGACGAATCACGCCTCTTCGTGACATGCAAATACGATTTCGTGCCTCATAACTCCATAGCAGCATATGCAGTGTCTTCTTCAACATATTCGGTGAAGGGAAAGGGGGCCCGTGATTTTTCGTTCGGACTCAAGCTATACCATGACTCTTCTTACGAAACGGCATACCGGGAGGCAGAGTATCCACTACATGCAGATTCCAAGGAGAGAGTCTTTGCTCAAGCCCAACTTTCTAGCAGTGGTATTTATACTTATAAGTTATAGTATTCTAAGTTTTATGTTAAAAGCTAAAAAATCGTTCTGGGCTCCGGGAATATTTTTAATCGGCTAGATTTTACACTTTGTGTAAATTAAATAATTTTGCCACTGATTAAGATTTGTCTTTAAAATTAGGATGTGGCTAAATATTGACTTCTAAAATAAACTTTTCGCTAATTCAACATCTTGAACACCAGGAGAAGACAGGATAAGTATCCGGGTAGAGAAGTGTGTGATGACGCCGGACTCGGACCCGGACTACAGTACCCACCACAACTTGCTGGCTGATGGCTGCGCGGCTGATGACACAGTTCAGTACCACGACTCTCCCAACAGTTTGGCCCAGAGATTCAGTTTCGAGGTGTTCCGTTTCAACGAGCGACCTACTGCCGTGGTGTTTATGCACTGTTACATCGATGTGTGCCCGGTTTGTTCATGTTATAATTGATTTGTTAAGATATAAAACTTGGAAACAATACTGTTGCCGTTGGTTCGTATTTTGTCTACAATTCATACTGTAACACTAACAGTAACATAACAATAAAATCCATATAAATATTTTCCAATGTCACACGTTTTGGATCTTGCAGAGTGACGACGAAGACTCCAAGTGCAAGTCAGGATGGACATCGTGTGCAACTGAGAGCGAGAGTGAGAGCGAGGGGGACGCTAAATAACCTAGCCGTCAAGTTATGGTAAGTTTTTATTTTATTAATAAAATGAAGTTGATTTTCATATGGTAGTTGTACGATGTTACATCGAAGATGATTAGTTAAAATGCGCTATATCAATATCATTTAAACTATTTATTGTTGATTGACACAAGGATACAATTTCAGAGAGTGGACCGAGATGACATTAACATGAAATGAACATGAGGTAGGTATTGACATCCCGCATTGCTTCTACACAAGTACAAACACTTCTATTTGAAACTCGTCAACCTTGGGATACCCTACCTTGTCTTGATCATGGACTATAAGTATAATAATGGACAGATGGACTGCGTTTAAGTAGAGACCACTGATATGGTGATTTTACCTTTTACTTTAACTGATATTTTTATTATGCTATTTTACAATTTTATTATCGCAATGATACTGATAGTGAATTTTTATTTTAATTAATTTTTATTTTAACTCTTATTACATGAGTTGGTATAAGTATAACTTTAATTTTTAATTTAAATTCAATCCTCGATCGATGATTATATTTTATTAATTATAAGTATAGCATAACTATTATGTAAACTTTTCAACATAAGAGGTTATGTATCAGAAAGCAGAAATGATGACTTACTTTTTATTTTAATTTTATCGGGCGTATCAATATAGCAATAATAATGCTTAACTTTTTAATCATTTTTGCCTACTTTCGCACGAAAATAAGTTTAATTGAAAGTATATAACAACTTGGTGTTGTCAGATTTAATTATACTATTACCAATTACCATTACTTTATAATCATACTTTACTCAAGATAATGACTTCTTTTTTTTCTAACATAATTTACAGTTTCATACAAAATCGAATTACTTCATATATCCTAAATGGTAGACAATAGCGCTAAACAGTTCACAGTTACTGTTAGTGTTACTGTTGTTAGGCAAAGCCTTAGTGTAGAGTATAGAGTCCTATAAATATGTTCTTAGAGAATGATGTGACGATATTCAAATTAAAAACAATGTCTACGTCTGGGCACAACAACAATTTGTATATCCTTTACCACCTTTTATTGATCATTATAACCGTTTTGAGCTGATTTTCTTACGTCACAACCTAGTAGTAGTACCTATAAATTTACTGGACGTGGCACTCAGTCTGTCACTCCGCCATATCTGGGAGTGGGATCTCCAGGTAACAATAAATTTGGATGCTGGTGAGCCAAGATTTGTTTGACACGCGATTAACCAATCAGCTTCCACTTCCAGCATTGGCCAATAAAACCCTAAATTCGATGTCACTTGTTAATCGAAATATGGTTCCTATTTCCAGATATATGCACTTAGGAAACAATAGGTATGAAATTTAAAAACAAAGCTTTTAACAGGTCGGAGTACCTATTACCGTGACGGGTTCCATATTTTCTGGTCATTCCACGCCTACTTTAACAGTCACAACAGTCCCGGACGAGTCCCAGACGAGTTCAGTTCTATAGTTGACCATGGCATTAATAAAATATTACTGATTGTAAGCGACACCATAGATGATTTCCAAAAACTCGTCGGCTTCAGACCTTCTAGAGTTAGAGTACGATGAAAAGACAAAAGTAGAACGGTATATTTTAATCGGCTGGAGTGTCACCGTCCTAGTGATGAACCTAGCAGGGAACTCCATCATCCTTCTCTCCACAATCCGTTACAGAGCCATCAGACTGGACAGAGGTAGCGTCCTCCTCATCCGAAACATTGCTGTTAGTGACATTCTGCTGGCAGTTTTTGCAGTGCATCCAAACCTGGTGTCCCTTATCTGGGACAAGTGGCCGTATGGCACATTCCTGTGTAGCCTGTTTGCTAGCCTCGGTAACGTATGTGGTATCTCTGGTATCCTTCTGGTAAGTGCAATGCACATCAGCAAGCTCCTTTCTCTGCTCTACCCCCTCCATTCCATCGGACGAACCAATAGGTCTGGATACCTGATCAGCATTTCTATCTAGCTCCTATCAGCTGTTCCTCCAATCATTAATATAATAGTCAATAGTCAAAGTTTCTACTTCGATTACAAGATTTATAATTGCAGTTACTTTTACACCAACTCAATATATAAATGGTTGTTACCCATCGAAGGACTTATATTCGTTTTAATTCCCAATCTCATGGTGATCTGCACTACCATTACCTTGTTGAGTGTTGTGAAGAAAGCTACCGGCAGGATAAACAGACAGGGCATTTTAACTGCAGGTTACGTGGGGTGTGTCTACCTAATTGCCTTCCTCCCAGTGGCACTCTATGTGACTTTTAACCTAGAAAATGCCACTTTTATGACGATTATGTCCCCGGCAGCGCGACATTTCTTTGACGAGACTGTCCACAAGTTTGTGTTCAATATTATTTTCGTTAACGGTATCTCTAACATTTTTGTTTATTATATTTCTATAACCAGTTTCAAAATATTCATTAGGAGGGTACTGTGTCGTAATTTTCGGCGTTTTACAAGTTTGGGTAGTTTTGGGCTTCCAGAGAGTTTTGAAATGCGTTAAAGTTCGATATGGATGTCCGTATTGCATTTCCAACATTTCTTCCACATTAAACAATTGTATCTTATTTACGATATTATACTAACTGCGAAAAAAGTTATCAATGTAATGACTGAGTAACATGGAGTCCATAACAGTGATATTGATAATGAATCTAGCTACGAATGACAAATAAAAAACCATTTAGATTGATATTAAGTTTGGTGGCAAGAGATTATTTTTAATCTCAGGGAATAGTGATCGTGTCACTGATGTCTGATAACCTCTCCTATTCCAATGACCATAGTGCGTGATGAAGAATCACATCCTTTTCGAGGTGCTACTATTAAGCATTGTAATCTGTCCTGGGTGACTCCAGTTTAAACAGATGACGTGCAACAAAACACTATGGATCTAGACAGGCAAAGGTCGATAAAAAACCGGGTGCGAGATGCTGGCAACTTTTCCTCTCTAAACATTTGCTGCAGAAACATCACAAAGTAACAACAAGAAACGGTGTGTGGCTCCCTCTGCAAGGACGGATGATACCAGTATGAAGGTGGCGGGGCAAAGCCTAAGGGACCCCCGTGGCCAGATGAGTGTTGGGAGAACACGTCATTGTAGCAGATTTATTTCTCCACAGATCACCCATGTGGACTCCGACTCTAATAAGAAACAGCCAGCAAATTATTCTAAAACAGGTCTTACATTTGGGACATGGAATGTATTATCTCTGACAAGTAGTTCAAGTCAGTTGTTCCAGCTATCAGAGAATATCTCTGAGTATAAGTTGGACTTGCTGGGTATAACTGAGACCCATATGCCTGGTACAGGATCAGAGCTACTGGATAATGGCTCCTTACTTATTTATTCAGGGAGGACGGACGGTATAAGAAGGCGAGGTGTCGGTCTTACCCTTTCAAAGAGGACTAAAAATTCATTAATTTCCTATCTACCAATATCTGACCGTTTGTTGAGTGCAAGGCTGCATAGTCAACACCTGAACATCTCTGTTGTTGTGGCATATGCGCCAACTGAGGGGGCTTCAGATAACGATAAGGATGAATTCTACCAGCAGTTGTCAAGTGCATTCGATGAGCTACCCCGACATGATTTAAAATTACTGCTCGGTGATCTTAATGCTAAGGTCACATCGGACTGCAGTTCTATGTCAGGTGTCATTGGTGGACACTCGCTTCACAGCTCATCAAATGACAATGGTACCCGATTGTTGGACTTTTGCATTGCCCACCAACTTACCATCGGGGGCACTATGTTTCAGCAAAAGGATATACATAAAGGTACGTGGAGATCACCTGATGGTCGTACTGTAAACCAAATAGACCACATCTGTATCAGTAAGAAGTTTGGAGGCTCCTTGCTAAATGTAAAAGTTTGTAGGGGGGCTGACATTGGGTCTGATCACTATTTGGTAAGAGCACGACTGAGAATGAAGCTTATGTCAGTGAAAAAGAAGCAGGAACGTAAGCTTGAGATTCCTGCTATTGAGCATCTGCGTGATCATTCACTTGTTTCCGAATACAATATTGTTCTGAGAAACAAATTTGACTGTTTGGAACCTGAGGTTGACCTGGAATCAATGTGGGACAACTTCAAGACAACTGTCCAACAAGTTTCCATGGAAATCCTTGGGCAAAGACCTCGAAAAAAGAAGGACAGGCACCAATCTCAGAAGACAAAAGAATTATTGAAGAACCGTAAGGAATTTAAGCGTAAAGACCCTAATTCGAACGCTAACAGGTCAGAGTATTCTAGATTGAATAAGCTCTTTAAAAAAAGTAGCAAGGTGGACGATAACAACTGGGCACGTAGAATGGCCAATGACTTGGAAGAAGCTGCGAGAAAAGGTCAGCAACGTGAGGTATGGCAGAAGATCAATGTCATATCTGGAAAGAAGAAGAAGCAGTCAACTGCAGTTAGAGACGTATCTGGCCAGTTGATTGCCGACCCACATGCCCAGAAAGAAAGGTGGAAAGAGCACTTCTCTAGGCTATTGAACCCTCCCCCGCAAGAGGCCAATATTTCTGACCTAGACAACATCCCTCCGCAACCCAGTTTTGACGACCTTTCCGATTCGGATGAAGCTCCTACAAGAAACGAGATTGTTGATGCCCTCAAAAAACTCAAGAATCACAAAAGTCCAGGAGTGGATGGTATCACCAACGAGCAACTTAAGTATGGACAGGATGGGTTGGTCGATCAACTAATTGTGTTGTTCAAGAAAGTGTGGGAAGATGAGAAGATTCCTGAGGATTGGTCCAAAGGTGTTATTATCATCGTTGGAAAGAAAGGTGACACCTCTCATTGCGCTAACAACAGAGGCATTACATTAAGATCCACAGCCTCGAAGCTCCTGCAGATGATACTCCTGCGGAGACTTAGCAATGGCATGGAAAGATTCCTCCGGGAAAATCAAAGTGGTTTTAGACAGAATCGCTCATGTATTGACCAGGTTTATTCACTCCGCTGTATTATACACCAATGCATTGAGTATAATATCCCTCTGTATATTAATTTTGTTGATTTCAAAGCAGCTTTTGATTCAATTGACAGGCAGTTCATTTGGAGAAGTATGCAGCACTACGGCTTACCTGACAAGTACATTAGAATTATGAAGGCGTTCTTCACTCACACAGTTAGTGCTGTTAGGGTCAATGGAGAGGTTACAGGTTGGTTTGATGTCAACTCGGGTACTGGGCAAGGTGATATACAGGGACCACCAGTCTTCAACTTTTGTTTGAATTTTTCGGCATACCTTATGGAACTGAACAAGGTCATTAGCAAAGGGGCTTTATTACAGCTGCCAGCCCCCGGGGTAGAAGAGAAACATCTTTTGGACACTGATTACGCTGATGACATGGCTATGTTAGATAACTCAAAAGAGGGGCTGCAGGAAACCACTGACCTTCTCTGCAAATACAGTGCCTATGCGGGTCTGAAGATTAATGCTGGCAAGACACAGAGCATGGTTGTCAGCAAAAGTGCATCGCAGAGGCCGTATTCTAAAGACGACACTATGGACATCAATGTGGAAGGTCTCCCAATACAGCAGGTCAGCAATTTCACTTACTTGGGTGCAATCATCAGTGCGAATGGAACAATTGACAAAGAACTTTCAGCTCGAATTCAAAAGGCCTCTGGGGCATTCTATCAGCTCAGCAGTATATGGTACAGTCGCAACATCAAGACTCCAACTAAAATCAGGATTTACAAAGCGGCTGTTCTCACTATACTGCTTTATGGAAGTGAGGTATGGAATACCACACAGACGCAGATGAAAAGATTTGAGGTGTTCCATCATAGATGTCTCAGGAGGATCCTGAAAATAAAATGGTTTTATCATGTATCTAATGCTGATGTACTTAAGCGGGCTAACATCGCCCCTGTTGATACTTTCGTACGAGCAGCTAGACTCCGATGGTTTGGCCATGTGGTGAGGATGCCAGAAGAAAGAATACCCAACTATCTTCTGCACTGGATCCCAAAGCATGGTAAAAGGTCAAGAGGTAGACCTCGGAAAAACTGGTTGTCATGTGTCCGGGAGGATGCAGCAATCTTCACAGGTGTCGATAACATCACGATAGAAGATGCAGAACAACAAGCTACAGACAGGGTTCACTGGAGAGGTCTAATACACCGGAGAAAGGAGTTACTTTGTGGTGCAGGCCACTCCAACGACTAGGAGGAGACCTTTTCAAGTACAAGTACAAGTAAGTTAAGTGTTAAACTTAAAAATAACTATTGTATAATATCATGAATCGTACTAAAATCTTTCGAAGAGATCTATGTATAACAATTCGCTACAATTATTTGCCACATCTACCCCAAGTGGAAATAATTCGGGCCAGTAAGATGTAATGGGGTTAAAACATGTGATAACCAATATTCATTACTATAAAATCATATCAGAAATCTCTAAGTATTCATCATTATATCGTTTAAATCCTATATCCTAATTCACCTAACTATTTAATTAACTAAAACTTAAAAGGACTATTATTAATGAAGTAAGACATTCACATATATTAGTTATTACTATGAAAGTTAAGTCACAACCTCTGAATTTCCTGTTCTATTTCAGTTCCGTTTGCTGACAAATGACAGCGTCAGCATTCAAATAAGTTTCTCAATCTTCACTAATACAGTTTCAATGAGTTTTCTTTACGGGAATTAGCTTTCTTCGATTATCTAGCAGATTTCCAGATGATATTTGTTAAAGACTGTTTTAACTTCAACCACATGGTATGCAACCACATTCTTCTATCACCTGAAATTTAATATGTTTATTAATGACTCTGACTGACAGAATGCTCTGTGATTTCTCCTGTCTGTGATACAGAAGTGTCAATTTGTCGATAAAAATAATAATAATAGACATGATAAAGATACGACGATAATAAAAAAAAACAGGCATAATACTCACCGGAAGTTTGAAGTTTCTGGGAGGAGAATTCTCACAAAAGAGGAGGATGTTTTTAGTGCTTTTAACAGTAGCTTTACAGCACATTCCTGTCTCTCTACAGGTACCGGCACAGTACTGAGTTAATAATAAAATCATTAACTACCTTGATTTAAATATTAATATTTCCACAGAAGGACTAGAAATATCAGTGTATAACAAAACCGATGATTTTAATTTTCATGTTGTATCCCTTACATTTCCTCACAGTAACATCCCAACCGAGGTTGGCTACAACGTTTTTTCAAGTCAAGTTCTTAGATATGGTAATGTTTGCACTAGATTGGATATCTTTACCTCCCATCTTCACAAAATATTCAAAATTCTAATTGATAGAGGATATAGCCGTGATAGACTGATTAAAGGCATTAAACGTTGTCTGAGGAAATATGATAACGTTTTCAGGAAGTTCGGTATTCTAGATGACCATAACATTATTAAAGAACTCCCCTGATATCTTTTGATTTATTGAAACACGGGTACTAACTCTGCTAAACTGAACAAATTCTGAAACTTAGGTGAATAAGTGTACAACGTGCTAAACCGAAGTTCAGACTGACCAGTGAAAATGGGCGAGCGTACCAAGTGTCATTTAAATTAGAAGTTTTAGTCAGTGATTTATTATTGAAGCTTGTAATTACAATATCTAATGCTCCTATAAATACTTTAATTAATTGTTTGTTCCGTTATTCTTTTTCCTTCCTCTTTTCCTTGTCATCCCCATTAGTTTTAAGATTCTTGCCATAAATGGCTACAGCTAACACTATTAATGCTAAGTACCAAACAACAAGTGGGAGGTGGATCGTTGGTATACCATTAAATCGATTTAACACCGCAATTCCAGTCGCAAGCCTGGGACCACTACTAGCATAGTCACAACATCTACAAAGCTGCCATATAGCCTGACTGACAATTTTCTCGACTGACTGACAATGTTTCTTCTTTTTCCCCATTTAGAATACAAAGATTAGTACATTTTAGCTTATGATTAGTATTATATTTTTACCTATAGTTTACCTAGATTGGATAATGAGTAAAAATAGGTCCTCCGATAAATCATGCAAAGTTCGGCTGGACTTCATTTTAAATTTCTGCGTTTACTCATTAATCAAAGTAGTGAGAATTGAGATTTCAACAAAATCGAATCTGGATTTACCCTCTTATTAGTCTATAACTATAAGTCTATGTGGATTTACCCTCCTATCCTGTAAGTATTTAACTCTATAACAAGAATACTGACCCTGTTAGTGACCCGCTCAGCACTTCTGCACTGATCAGCCTCCAGGGGGACTCTGTAAACCTTGGTGGTGCACGTGTCACATTTCCGGGTGTTACAAACTCTGATTTCCTCCAGGGAGGGACAGTTCCCGTTTATCTCGTTCCCGTGGGAGGACAGGATTTCCCGAGACCTTATCTGTGTCCCACCCTCACAAGACTCCGAGCACTCGCCCCATTCCCCCCACTCGCTTACTTCGCACTGCCTTTCTGAAGAAAGTGGGAGTTATGAAAATAAGTACGGATCGAGCTTTTCAGATTTAAGAAGGGGCGAGAAAGAACGCCTTCTGCGTAATATTAAATATAATTTTGTGGTAAATAGTGAACTGCCAGACTTACAAATAATGTAATACTTACGTATACAATCGGGAACTTCGACAGACCAGCGTCCATTTTCCTGGCACGTGGTAACTATGGAAACAATGCTGGCTCGTCCTTCGAACACGTGACCCCAGTTACACGTGTAACCGTACATACTCCCGTAATCTGTACTCGTCCCGTACACTCTTCCCATCTTTATTCGGGGTGGCACTCCGCAGTCAACTCCTGAAGTGATAAAATGGTCTTAAAACAAGTAAATCTTAAACAAGAAAACTCCTAAAGTGATAAGTTTTTTCCAAACATTCAACTCCTTACAGAAATTTCCAAGTTGAGGAGCTTGAACTTACTCTGACAAATCGGGACAGAACCGGACCAGGAACCGTTAGATTGACACATGCTAGTCTCAGTTCCAATGAGTTTGTATCCCAGATCACACTGGTAAGTGACTAGAGCATCAAACCCACTATCTTCCCCAATAAGACTGCCGTTTGTAGGGATATCGGGCTCTCCACATTGGATGTCTGGAGCTGAAATTTCATGTTGGTCAATAGGCTATCAAACAGTTGCACTACGGGTAGACATTTCTAAATTACAAATATTTGGAAATATATTTTGTATGTTTCTCTACTATTGTTGCATATCACGATAAAACTTTAAGGAAGGTCTTACCGACATCAGTGCACGTGTATCCTTCAATTCGAGGTAACCAGACGTGAGATAATCCATGTCTCCACATTCCATCAGCTAGGTTGAATGCTTCCCTGAAATTGCAATTATTTTGAATAATAAGAACATTTATATCTAGAACATCTCGTTCTCGAAACCTCGACCTCACGGTTGTAGTAACCACTCAACACCCCTGAAACCTGCAATCTGTATCATCTTACCTGGGTGATAAAGGCAAAGCAAATCTCAGGTGTCCCCCACAAGCTAGAACGTCCCCGTTGTTAGGAAGATGTTGAAAGTCAGGAGAAACAGAGAATTCTCCCTCCCCCAGTCCTTTACAAGCTAAATGGAGTGTTTTGCTGCACTCAGTGTTAACCCAGCCGTATGTCATGGTGGTGGGGTCCAAATGGAATGCAGTGCAGCCGGAACAGTCATTATTATAGTTGTGGGGTAACCATGTCCAACTACAGCCTGACAAATAAAAATGTTAGAATGATTTTAACTGCGAGCATGCTCAGAAACTCTGCCTTCTGTGATGAACTGCTGCGGTTTATAAGAGAAAATAATATGAGAAGAAATTGCAGATAAGTGCACGAGTAGATTACCGAAAAGGTCTGAGAAGTTGGAAGCTTGGAGAGCTATCTGAGAGTTACATCTGGTAGCTAGTTGTTGATCAGACTTTGTTGGGGTCCTTAAAGTTCGGTACTGTCTTACTTTCCTACTTGCTGACAATCGCAAATCTACCTGATAATAATATTTGATTTTACTTTTCGGCTAAAGGGATAACATTCTCAATAGTAAAATTGTCTATAGTTACAAGCTCTTTACACCTTATACATAATACCACTCTTCTCTAGCTTGCTGTCAACCTACTCCTGCTACCCATCCTCCAATATGAACCACAGGAATGACTGGGCAAGTGTTGCTTCTAGTCCCTAATCATACTGTTTTGAATAAGTCAAAATGAGCGGGACCAGATTACAGGAGTTAATAATGCACCGTTTATTATTGAATTACCCGGTACCTACCCATACAACATGGCATCTTGCCAGGCCCCCACCCTAGTGAAATTAGAGGAAAGGCTCCTGGAAATTAATCGCATTGGATTTCATGCCTGTATGCACTGAGACGTGAAAAGAGGGATAAGGTAGACATTGAAGAATTGTGGAATAATTATTCTGGCTTCAGATTGGACACGATAATTACAAAATACGATTTTGGGTCTGAATGTGCTAAGTTGGCACTGGAAACTGGACATGATGATAGCCGATAAAGGGCTAATAGTAATACGGTTATATAAATTGCACTCATATTATATAAACTACATAGCATCACGGCGTCACAGTGTGTCCTCCCACATATTAGGATTACATCAAAAGGACTAACGTGGATCCTGTCGTGATAGTAGAGGGTGAATGAGTTATTCTCCTGTTGACATACATCCCTGTTAAACTCATCTATCGAAACGTCTGAAACAAATAGTGTTACGTTCGCTGGCGAGGTAAGATTATCACTAATTTATCCCCGTCTTCCCTTTAATCATAAACCACATAAGCAGACAGTCACAGTCTCTCAGGATATCTCCTAGACTCCTAAATCCAAAATTACTCTTCAAAAAAACGTGATCTACACTTACAATTGTTCTCCTGAGCAGGGAATACGAGGTTTCCTCCAAAAGTGCAGGTGCTTCTTATCAGGACGTTCCTTCCCATCTCTCTTATCTCTCTCAGCGAGGGTAGTGTCCCAGCAGTCCTATTTTCGTTCTATCTAGAGAAAAGGAATGGAAAAGTAAAATGTTCTTTTACGTTAAATTCTAGAGCCAAACAGCTCTCCGTTTTATTTCCATCTAACGTACTAACGTACTAACGTTATTAAATACTAACGTACTTAATAGAAAACATAAATGTGAAAAGTAAACTCCCTTTTCAAGATTAATACAATTGTTTGTATTTTGAAATGAAACTTTTTCATTGATTTTCTGAGTTCAGCAGTTTGAAAACTCGTCTAGACAGGCCGGGTTAAAGTCAACCAGGTCAGGAACCAAAATACATTTCCATTTTTGAGACTGAAATATTTGACCGACTGATAATCGCGATGCTTTTGTCTGGAATTCTAAATTTGATAACCCGGTTAACGTTCGGTATCAAATAGACGGCTTCAGTTTTATTTGACACTGGAAATTCAATTACAAGCTTTATTTTTGAAACAGTGGTGATAGGCGAGTGCCGAAAATATGCTCGATTATGGTACCTGTCAGTAAAAATCAGGTCAACGATCCTTCGATAGTGTGAATGAGCTAGAAGGCACTTATAAATTCAAGCTATCGTCGAGTCATAAATAATTACTCATGACAAATTTAATCTCGTTTGTGGGAGGCTCGTTTTAATGGCTAAATAATACACATTTCTTTCGTGCTCAATTTCCGTGAACACAGCATTTAGTAGGAATTCGGAGTAATTTGTGTGTTGTAAGGTTTTCACCGAAGCAGCAGAGAGACAGAAAGGTCCCTTTGTAAAACAAGTTTTCGGAACAAACACAGAATGTTAATTTATTTGCCGGAAAAGTGTCATTAAGTTTATTGGAATTTAAATACCCAAGTTAATTATCACTGGATAAGTATTTTCTGGGAACACTCCAAATAATTCCTACGGGAAAAATTTATAACTTGATCAATTCTTAAAAGCTGGGAGATAAGTAAAGAGTGTAAGAATCTCGTTTTGTATACCTGCAGGTGGGAAGGCTTAAGGAGTCTTGAGCCAAAGAGTTTCAGAGAACTATCCAACTCTGGAACCACCCTGCACCCTGTCTCCGAGGAAATGTAGTCAAGTAGATCTATAACCACAAACTGGTCTTGGTTCTTGTTCAGCCACTTTATAATTTCTTTTACCGTATTTTTAAACTCAGGAGAACCCTGCAATGAAATGGTTTAGATGGATTGTGAATCAGATAGCAGCGGGGTGTCGTAGTATACTTACATAGATTTTAAAAGTGGTTAAATTGAATTCGAATCGTATCGGATATGCAGTAACGCTTATCATATGAATTTATGAAAAATACTACTCAAACACTTTTCAATAAATCATTGTTTAAAATTCCTATTATAATATCAAACTGACCGAATGGCACCCGGTGTGGACACCTTTACTTGTCATCTCGAAACCCTTGCACCAATTATAAGCTGACTTTTTCCTCTTCTTAGATCTTAGTTTCACTTTCAGTTTCTTCTTCATTGCTGTACATTCCACTGAAGGGGGTTGTAACTGTTTACAAGCATGAAGGAGAGGCACTTTTATATTATGTATTATGGAAAAGTGTATAGGATTTATTAGAGAGGAAAAACAATTAGCTACGAGGTGTAGCTAACTGGAACGTGAAAACCAAGTAAATAGTTCAGAATTACCAAAAAACAAATGAACTCCCACCTTGAAGAGAAGCACACACTCGGAGTTTCCTCTTCATGCCCGGCACATAGTGCAGCTCCAACACCAACCTCCTGACTCCCGCGTTCAGCTGCTCAGTTATACTCAGACCATGGCTCTGAAAGCTCAACTTTCCGCTTACACAGTCTATATTGGACACACAATGCTGACCCCATCTCTCCAAATTTGATATTGTTTTGTCGAGTGACCTCGTGGTCTGATAATTGTTTGATAACCATGTAGTGCACATGGGGACACTACTGATGGTTGAGTTTAGTGTCAGTTTAGTTTGGAATGTGTTCACGAACTGCAGCCACCTGACATCTTCTATCAGCGAACTGGTTGTTTGGTTTTGTGACGAGTAGCTTTCCCCCTCCGTGGTGTTTAGAGGATGCACGTAGCGCAGGAGGGAGAGTAAGAGTACTAAGAGTTTCAACATGACCCCTCTGTTTCTGTGCCACCAAGTACACGAGATGACAAACCGTCTGTTCGTAGTCCTCAACTGAGAGATAACGCTAAGTTGGGTAGTTCGTACCAAACAGTAGCTAGTTATTCTACCCTATAAAATTGGGGAAATCAGTCGTTGTAGACTGAATTAGAGACAAGACTCTGGAGTAGAGATTGCTGGAGATCTGCAGCAAGTCGAGGAAGTCTTCAAGGGGATTCAATGAAGATAAGAATGTGGTGATCTTTTTATCGTCTCATGTCATAATAAAACCTGATAAATCCATCGGTTAATCGGTTATAATAGTTGATAAAACATAGTTGATACGAAAACAGATAAATATAGTATGAGCGGCAGGCTTACCGGTGGGAATGAAACCACTAAAAACTCAAATCATAGCTGTCAAACTAATGGTCACTAATGGCAAATCTTGGCACATTACGCAAGTAATGGAGGATTAGCTGCTTATATTTTCCACTTAAATTCGTGGAAACTGCAAGTTAAACGAAACTAGTCCTAACGATTCAAACTACAGGCTAAAAGGTAGGTTTTACTGATGCAGGTGCTGAACACTTATAAAGTTAAGTCAATAAGACATGTCCTTAAACCGAACTGATATGTGTAGTTGTAGCTAACAAGATACTCGGTGAAATAAATGTGAACTCGTGTCAAGAGGGAAGCGGTATCTCTAGCTGTAGAGGAGCTGTCTGATACCTGATTTCATCTAATTCCAGTAAACTGGTGAACTAGACATGCTCACAGATTGAGTGTGCCGAGTGGCATGGTAATACCAAGAAATACCAATTATACGGCATAGAATGAACAATAGCTGATATATCAGAGTCTCTAAGTCTGTAGTATCGCAAACCATCATATCTCCTAAGCAGCTTGAGCCCTACAAAGTGGATATTGTTTGTTAAATCTGGTTTCAGAAGGCCAGAAGCTATTCACCTCTTCATGGATTCAGTTTATGACGACCAGAATTATACAAGAATTAACTTAGAATTTACAGTATGTAAACAAAATTACAAGAACTTGTAACACCCTAAAACTAAACACAAGAATAAACAACGTACAGAAGATAACCCAAATTAAATTACAAGAAGAAGTCAGGGTAAAGTTAAAGCAGGTCGCACTGCCCAGAACTTCAGGTCTAACGCGCCAGCAGACAGGTTACACGACCAACTAAACGCTCAACAAGACGCCCTAACCAAACCTCTAATAGCACAAATGCAGCCGCGAGGTGAGCAATGTGGGGTTGTAACTGAGGGGGACGTTGTGTGAGCAACAAAGGGCAGAGCAGGGAGGTGGGTTATCAGGATTAGCTCAGGACCAGTAACGGCTCGGATTACACGGACAGACGATTTTTAAATTGGGATGATCGATTATAGAGCGTATGGGAAGGAGCTGATGAAGTGGGGGGTAAGTAGTGAAGGGGGTGGTTAATGTCATTCTTAGTCAGTCATTAAACATTGCAGTCATACAACATTGTACTTCAGCAGTCTGCAGCTGAGTATGGCCGGTTTCAACTTTTAAGATTTTATTACAAGTTCGGTGAGAAGAATCAAATGAATATCGTTAAGAATCAATTGTTTTAAAGTAAATTTTTCGAATTAAATTTATTTTCTAACAGATCTTAGATCACTCGATGATGACCAGACAAGTATTGAAATAAAATAATTTGATAATTATCTGTAATGATCTCATTTTACTTAAATTTATTCAAACTCTGATTTAAAACAAAAAAGGGACCGCGGGATAAATTATATATGTAGAAACATGGTCATCACTACTGACCCATAACGAAACACAGGTATACATTTTTTATCCATGACAAATTTCCAAATAACTTGAATTAATTAATTGCGCATAAAACAAGGAGAATTGAAGCTGAAACTCCATCAAACCAGCATCGCATTAACCAAAAGTACCCGAAATAAAGGAAGTGTAGGAGTAGATCGTGAGTCAACTACAGAACTACAAAGGAAGGCTGAAGAAGGAGAAGGAGGAGAAGGGAGGGCGGTACTGACATGGAACACCACAAAGATGCATGTCAAATGTAAAGTCAACGTCAGAACATCAAACTGGAGGCCCCTAACATGGCTATTATTTTACCATTCCCAATTTAATTATCAAAATTTGCGGTTAAAGATCAGATTGAAAAAGAGAAGCGGTGGATTATATTGAAAGAACAGGATATGGTTTTTAATTAAGATCGGCACGGTCGCGGTCGTAAACTTAAAGTGCTTGATATGAAAACAATTGGTAATTGATAAGTGTTCAGTCATGACTCATAATAATATCTATAAATCAGCGAAAACAGGAAATATCGCACGTGAGATCTGCATAAGAAGCCGCCACAAAACGTCAAGTATCAAAGCACAATTAATTAAGTAGTCACTGGACTTCTCCACTTCCAGAAAGTCAAGACATTGCTACTAATCTAATGTCAGTCTTCTCCATTCACAAGGTGAGGGTAAAATGCAGCCTTTTCTAGTCCTAAAATATATGTCCCAAATATTCAAGGCTCCTTAGAATGATTATAAAGCATAAATAAGTTAAGCAAAAATGAGGACTAGTCACTATAGTGCATTGCGAATCATCCGCCTGTGCCTTGTAAAGTATCTGAATTTAAATTGAATAGTAGCGACTATACCAGTATCGAGCATCGCAGTTGCGTTCTGCACACTATCGTAAAACTTTAAAATTTACAAATATCAAACAGAAAAAAAAGCTGTTAAAAAAAAGTAACAACTATTAAACAATTAAAAAAGAAACAACATGTAGTTTAAACTCGCTGTGTAAACAGTTAAAACGCACAGCTACAGTAACAGAACACGTTCCTCAGTTCTTTCCTCAAGCAAGAAATTTCACAGGCAGCTGACGAAACTGTTCCGATCTATTTCGAAACTGCAACTTTGAAAATCAGGCATGCACACAGACCTCAGCAATCTCTTGTTGTAGTACTTATACAACAATCTAGAATAAAAAGTAAAACGTTGATAGGTTTGCTCGTTGTCTTCAGACGCAAGGCTCAATACTTCAGACCACTATTATGTAGTATTAAAACTATAAAAACTAAGCTTATGTGATTTATGAAAACAACCAGAATGTTACTGTTATGGTAAATGGAGCGTTAAAAAGGTTTGCATAAAACTTTTTAACGAAGGAAAATTACAATATATAAAAGTTCATATGCCTGTTTTCAAGGGTGAGGCAGACTGAGACAGTGGGACAGCAAACTAACTCGCTGTTTTGCACTAAATCTGATAATATAAAGTCACACCACGTGACATGACGTCACAATACGCTCAAGGTGTTGTATTCTGTAGACAATATAGGGGAAGAGAAGGGGGGCAATTCTAGAACCAGATGGCGGAACACAAACACCAGACACCCAAGACACAGACAATGGAATAACGTCTACAGAATTACGAAGCAGGTCGATTAGATTTACTCGTTCTCTTTTAGTGCTTGTACTGGACAAAGGGATCACGTGGCCGGGTTGGAAATGAAACACTGCACGGGAAACTCAAAAGCCCTTCGGCCTTCTTTCAACATATATCTGATCAACCCACTATAAATAGAAAACCCTCCTCATTCCTTAACCCTTAGTGAGATCTATTTATAGGTCATTGGAAGCATGCTTCAGAGTCCTTACACTCGGTTTAAAGGTGTCGGGTATTTTTAGCTACAGATATTATTGTATTCACAGTTTGTCTGTGAATCTCTCGTTCACCCTGCCGTAGTGCTAACACTATATTCGTTGGCCTGCAAATACACCGTCTGATTTAAGTTAAGTCGTAGGGTTGGAGATAAGAGTTAAGTTGTAGGGTTTGGCACTGGAGATAGGTTCGAGCTGTGGAATAAGGCTGTGAGCAATTTGGTAATCTGTCAATGGACACGCTTGACGCACTGCTGACGAACAACGGTCACTTGCGTTAACGCACATTTAAAATCGTCCGGTCTTCAAATTTCATGAAATGATAGAGGCGGGGTAAAAAGACATGCGTGCACACTCGAGTAGCACTGCAGTAGCTGCGACATGCTCTGCAGGAACAATACAGGTTGGGCAAAGTGTGCTGTTCCCGCCCCGGGAGAGAGAGAACAGCAGCAGTGAGATTAGATTTGGGGAGCACACGTCTTGTTTGTTGAAGTGGTTAAGATAAGCACAATTAGGTTAGAGGTGCCAGTAAATCATATCCGTTAACCAACACGTGTTGCGGTCCGGCAACTCGCTCCCTGAACTCGGAGTAGGCCAGGAGCATTCCACATAACCACATCAGGTATACCGTATAACTGTATCAGAAATATGTGGAACCTGCCTTGCGCTAACACGCTTTCAGTTGGCAGCTTGACATGAGGACTGGGGAGTGGCTAAGGAGGATAACCATTCGGTAAATAAGATGGGGTATTTTACGCAGGAAACCTTACATTAGAGGGTTCGCACCTTCTTGAGCGTTTAATAAATGAACATTTAACGCACCCTTACTCGGTACAAACGGCTGTTATTCCTGCACAGTGCACATGCTCTGTATAAGATAAGGTCGATAAGTCGTTAAACGAGTTATTAAGACAAACGATTATTAACTGACAAGAAGATAATAATAATGCGCTGAATTAACAATTATAAGATTAGACATCAGTGGTAACCAGAGCTCCTTCAATGAATAACAGAGATGAAAGAAAACCAGCTAGATTGACAATGGAGAGATAACGTCAGCATACCTAGCAGCTGCAACTGGAGTAGCACGTGGCAGAAGCAGATGAGAACACACAACACGTGCTCCTGATTGACAAGCCGATCTGTACCTATCACTCCTTTATCAAAATAAGCGCGCTATCGTCTTCTCACGACCTGCTTGAGATCGGACAAATTTCCCTGACAAGCAAGATGTTACGGAGAGCACGGCTTTCAAAAGCTACTGCAGTTTTTGCACACGATATTTGAGCGGTTTAAAAGAGGGTGCAAGCTTCAAATTTTAGCGCTTTAAAAGGCGCAGATGAAAGGTGACCAAGTGTTTCAGAGACAAGCTGGTGTGCGCTTCTTAACAGTGTTGCTATAGTTGAGTAGTTAAGTACTTGTTGTGGGATAGAACACTGATGAGATACTTGTCGGAAGAATGCTGGTAGAGCGTGCTTGCTTGTCGTAATGTGAACAGTTTGCAAGCAACTTCTGGTCGGAGATACAAGGTGGTATACTGAGCATGTCATTACTTGGGAGCACGTGGCCTGATTAGGAGAAGATACGGAGGAGTTAAGGGTACCTGCAGTACTAGACT